AGACTGCCCCCAGACTGCGCCCAGACTGCCCCCAGACTGCTCCGGACTGCGCCAGACTGCTCCAGACTGCTCCAGACTGCTCCAGACTGCTCCCAGACTGCGCCAGACTGCGCCCAGCCTGTCCCCAGCCTGCCCCCAGCTGCCCCCAGACTGCTCCAGACTGGGCCAGACTGCTCCAGACTGCCCCAGACTGCCCCCAGACTGCCCCCAGACTGTTCCAGACTGCGCCAGACTGTTCCAGACTGTGGCCAGACTGCGCCAGACTGCGGCCAGACTGCACCCACACTGCTCCCAGACTGCGGCCAAACTGCTCCAGACTGCGGCCAAACTGCTCCAGACTGCGGCCAGACTGCTCCCAACTGTGCCAAACTGCTCCCTGATTGCACCAGGCTGCTCCGGACTGCTCCCAGGCTGCTCCAGACTGCTCCCAGACTGCCCCCAGGCTGCTCCAGACTGCTCCAGACTGCGCCAGACTGCTCCAGACTGCACCCAGGCTGCACCCAGACTGCGCCAGACTGCACCCAGACTGCACCAGACTGCCCCCAGACTGCTTGGCCCCAACCCCAGAGCACCTCAGGAGGCACTGGAAAATCAAGGAAACAGTTCACCTTCAGACTGGCAAGACTTGATGAGTAGTAGAGAAACGGGTTCCCATACTCTGCCTTTGGAAGAACAGGTACTTTACAGAGGGCAACATTAATTCTAAATGCACATACTCTATGGCTCCAAACATCTGCACCTGCGCATGACAGAACCAAGAGTTGTAGTAATGGAAAAGCTGGAAACAACCTAATAGACATTACTAGGAGAAGAGTTTAAAAATTGAGGTAGAGCCATACCAAATATTATATAGAGTTTAGGAAGAATGAGGAAGATCTCTACGTACAAACATAGAAAAATTATCAAGATATAAACCTGAATTTTAAAAGAAGTACGTCATAAATGATTTTCAGAAGTTAGAAAAAAAGAAAAAATTCTATACTTAAAAAAAGAAAACAGAACAATATTCTGTATTGTATCCTGTATCATATTTATTTCTCTACATAGATATAAAAATTCATAGGAAAAGGTTTGAAAAGACAGTTAACCAAATGATAACAGGGATTACCTCTGTGGAGAGGAAGATTGAGGAAAGGATCTGGAACACTCAAAGGTTTTCAAGAATGCATGTACATGTCATTGTGTATTTGGAACTAAGTTTTTCACTGAGTAGCTGGTACCAGGTCTGGGGAAGAAAATGTACAAGATAAGCCTGGAATACACTGACATACTAGATAGCACGAAAGTTATCAATGATGACTAGGGTCACTTCAAAAAGGCTCTGGCACCAACTAACCAAAGAGAGGCTATTTAAACTTTAATAAAGTTAGACAATGAATAGGAACAAGTCAAATATAAAGTCTATAAGTTTCATCACAGTATGTTGGAAAAAAAAAAAGCTAATTGGCCACTTTTTGAACATGACAGCAAACCAACTCATTATCCTGACAACTGGGTGAAGAAAAGAAAAGAAACAAGCAGTTATTTCGCCCTTCCTATATGATAACCAAATAGTAGATAAGGGTAAGAATATTTTTATAAAATTTTTCAAGTTAAAAAATGAAAACCGAATGACAGAATTAAGGTGGCAACTTTTTACAAACCCCAATATAGTAAAAGATGTCAGCATTTAGCATCAGTGGCTGCTTACATCAAAAAAAGAGTGAAAAATCAGACATTACCAAAGAACAAAATATCTTTGGTTTTGCCGGCAAGAACCAACCTGAGTCTGAGTAAAACACTGAACTGCCAATTTACAGGAAACAGAGGACAAAGAAACACGTATAAATGGGCCTCATGCATGCAATCAGCAAAATCCAGACAGTGGTAAAGTCTAAAGATCAAATGGCCAGGATTCATGAACAAATAAGTTACAAGTTAAAAAAAAAAGGGATGGAGGAGAAACCTATTGATTAAAAGATGTGTTAGATTAGAAGTCTGGGCACAGTCTGGTGCAGTCTGGAGCAGTCTGGGCCCAGT